GGTGACTATCTTCATTATTTACAAAGGAGGAAACCAATTTGGTGGAAACACCCTGATCCTGTCCGTTTATATTGCTATCAATTTATTTAGTTAACCTTCAGGGAATGCAAAGTACACTGTTCACCTAGTGTGGATTCCGTCCTCCCCCCTTCCAGATCGTTTTATTATATCCGAAATTGCTACCTTGACTTCCCCTGCAATTCGAAACAGTTTTATCTACCCTTCTCTTAGTATCCACTGTGTGATTCGAGCCACATATTTTGGGCTGTTCATCAAGGCTTCAAATGGCCTGTCTTTAGCTCATCGGACAAAGTCTCCTCTTTCATTTGCCCACAGTAGACACGCCAATACCATGTGCTTGACATTTTGTGACGGATATTTACATTGAGAGCTTGGCTTTTCCGATCCGGATACTTTTCTTCTGCACAGGTAAGAATTGAGTTCAATATGCTCACTTCTTAGCTGAATAGCGACACTGCTTTGGGCCCTGGTTAGGTTACGGTGGATTTTTAACGGTGTATCTTTGAAATTGATTTTGGTGCTGCCCGTTTATTTATCAGTAAATATATTGGCTGCTTTCCAATGTTCTAGATAGGTTGATGCTAGTCAGCCAGGGCGCTGTTTCCTGTTCTGGCTTGTCCATGAATTCTTCCACTCCTGAAAGGCCGCTATCTTTCCAGCTTCTTTCTGCCTCTGCTTGTACTTTTCCCTTCCGCAAATTCTTGTTCATTCGGCGATATCTTTTCTCTTGTTCAAGCCATGCAGAACTTCTCTCCTGTTTACGGGCAGCTTTATCCTTTTACGAGTCAATCGTATTGTCTCTTGAATAGGGACTTGAGTTGATAGTCCGGCGTGATGGACCCTCCCTTGTTTTGGACATATCTCTATAGGGAGGACGGACGATTCGTGCTCTAGCACTCTGCTACTAGTATAATTACAGGCGCCTGAAACAAGCTTTAACCATTTTCTTTGAATACTTCTAAGGGGTTTCACTATCCTTTGAAGTACTTTCCTGTTGACCCAGCCTCGACCCATATCGAGGACCCATGCGTAATGGCTGGTCTCACTATTGAGCTATATAGTAGCTTAGACTTCATGAATGTCGCTCTCCAAGTTGATTGTGTCAGTCTACTAATTGACTGCACTTGGGTGCAAGATTTTTGCTGGATATTCTTTATGTGGACTCCCAAATAGAGTTTAGGATCGAAGAAGACTCCGAGAACTCGAAGAGAAGATTGCGGCGAAGTTAAGTGTCCTTGTATACTCATGGTGGCTTCTAGATTGTGTCTGTTCCTTGCTCGTGTGAAATGCATCAAATGATACTTCTCTGGTACAAATTTTACTCCGTGATTTTTGCCCACTCCTCGCATTTGCTGTGCTTTTCCTCTAACATTTGGCAGTTTTTCTCAGTAGAGCTTGACCACGTCAATATATTAGTGTCATTTATAAATCCTACAGCTGAGCTAGAGGGAGTTTGAAGCAATGGTAAGAGGGTGCTGACAAAAGCCAGAAATAAAATCGGAGACAGAGCTGATCCCTGAGGTATACCTGTGTTAGTAGAGATTTGGTCCCTTTTGTATGACCCGAGGACTACAGAAGTCGCTCTATCATCTAGAAAGGATTTTACAAAGTTAACAATCCATCTTAGGATGCCCTTTTCCTTTAGGTTATAGATAAGTCTTTCATGAGAGAGATTATCAAATGCTCCTAAGATACAGAGACTAAGAAATGAAGCAGCTTGCTCTTTGTCTTTACCCCATATGGTATGGATCTGTTCTATAAGGAGCTTTATTACCGAGATAGTGATTCTCTGAGATCGTGCCCCCTTCTGCTCGTCCGGAAGCAGGTTATAGTCTTCGACGGCCTTAGATATAATAAATCAATTTATTAATAACCAACTCGGTTTCCGTCACAACTGTCATCTCTAGTGTCGAAACAACACTTCTCCATCAGACCAGAGACAAACAGACAATTCGTAGACTCTATGAGAGCTCACCTACGCGCTGCCATTGCGCAATACATGGCCTCGGGCCTAGCCTCTAATGTTAACATTTCTATCTTGGTATCGACCCGTACAAACATACAGTATAATAGCAACTCATATTGATACTCAGGATTGCGATGGATAGCAGACATTGATGGTGTTTATGGCAGTGCGGGGTTTGGTAATCAGTGACAGGGATATGTCACGTGCACTAAGGAAACAATGACCTCTCAATCATTGAGTTTGTTGAGCGCGTTGATTCAAGTTACTACCGAAGTGAAATTGAGTACAGAATTTGTGGTCACGTGCATACCAATAACTTGGCCTACTTGATAGCCCCAATCATTTTAAATTCTAACGACGTTTATACAAGTATCGCGCACTTGACTCCTCTTTGGTATGACGATGCTTCCGAGTACTTTCACGATGCCCATACCTACTCTGGGCTAATCACCCCTTACTATATCGGTCCTATCTTTTAATTAATGCCCTTATCGCCCTTTTATCTTAAATGACAGGTCATGATATTCTTCGTCTTGCTTGCCATCATCAAGCTCAGAGTTATGGACAGATTAAATATTTAACATCTAAGTCAACCGTTCTTCCTCCTCGACCGGCGATTCATACCTAGAGGGTTTCCGACGCCAGGAGCACAAATATTCTCACAGTGCCTATGCCGCCTACAAAAAGCACCCAGGCTACTGTGGTAGGAAATGAACTGCGACAAAAAGTAGTCCCAGTAGTGAAACTGTGCCGCAACCTGTGGCTACAGCCCAAAATAGAGAGGCTATGAAGGAAAAAGTGGACAAACGACTGTTCCTGCGACTTGACAGTAACTACCCGTGGCGAGAATTATCCCCCGCGGGTATCTTACTCGCATTTTTGGAGCCTACTATATGCGTTTCAATAACTAGTAGCTCGATACACCGAGTTAAGTCGGGGTTTGCCATTTTGACGAAATACGACGAATAAAGACAAGGCCTCCTAGATGCCCCATCGAAATTAGCGGTTGTCTACGCCAAAATCGAGCCATCTTCAAAACTTGTCGCCCTCTAAATAGCCAATGTGCCAGTGGAGGTCCAAACTCTGAAGGGCACTGAAACTGTCAATGAAAAGTGAGTCTGATGAGATTACTAGAGTTAACCTAGAAGAACCGTTACAAGTGCGACCACACGGGACATGCCGTCTTGGTGCGCCAACTCGCAACTGGCAGTGTCTTTTTCCATAGGAGTTTGCACCTCGTGTAGGCTTACGCCTTTTCGACCAGTCTGGAATAACTACGCTATTCAGCCTCGTCGCCAAATTGAGCAGCGTTGACGTTGCCTCGACCGACTCGAGCCGGCACGATAACCAAGGATCAATTGGTTTTTATTCGACAGGCCAGTCAACGAGAGTTCGCTAAAGTTGCCCGAGCGAAAGCTGCTGGAAGGAGGTCCGAGGCAGGAAGTCAACTTGCCACAAAAAATACCATGATGTTAGGGCGGCTAGTCTTCGAGGCCTTGAATGCCGAGGAACAGGCGTAAGGAGTGAGGAATCCCTGGAGGAAGTCAGTAATGATTTCAAAAATTTTTGAATACAGACCATCAAATTTGGAGGAAACCTGGCAACTTATCTCCAGCTCTCAGCGGAGATAAAGAGATTTTGTCAATTGTGAGATGTGACGGATGACTGAATGCGGGAGGAAAAAATTGCCTGAGTTCTACTTTAGCAAAACTTTTGGGTCTCTTTTCTTTTTTTTGTCTTGGTTTTTTCGATTGAACTAGCTGCTATCTGTGTAGAGGTTCGCGTAGTGGACACAAGTTGAGCTTTTCGTAGATACGGTCTTAGCTGTTAGCACTAGTCTTTGACCGTCAGGGGATAGCGCATATAACCTAAGGCCTAAAAATAATAATAAACCATGTCCAGCACTATATAAGCATGTTGGATGGCTCTTTTGACGTCGGAGACACTTTTACTCTGGATTTCATTCGCAAATACCACTATGAGGTATGTTCGCTTAAACAAACAGTCGACCCTCCTCCGTTAGTACCCACCAAAGGGAATCTCAAACCTTTGGTTATCTAAGCATGCCTTCATCATCCATGCATACCAGCGCCGCGAGAAATGTGGTTGTGCTTTGCCGGATTAGAACCGGCGATCTCCTGTCTCGAGTGGGATGTGTGTCAAAGCTATCTAGACCTTACTTGGGAGAACGGCTAGAAGATGTACCACTGCACCATCCTACCATGGCGGCGTTTATGGTATCGCGTACACGCTCGCAATCGAAGCTTTATGTCGCAAGAAGCTCAACTAGTAAAGCTCCTTCCAAAATTTTCAAAAACTAACATCTTTCGAGGTTGCGTGCAACGTTAACTTAATGTCGTCCGCTTGTCCATATCTCTCTCACGTTCATATCATAAACTCTACCTCCCAAATTTGTGCACCACAATTTGTATCATCCGGCGGGTACTCATAATATTGTGGGTGTGTATGTGGAGGCCATTTGAGGCAAGATGAAGTCGACGAGAGGTGTGGTCGTTGAAGTGAGGATGTACTAGGTCGTACTTGCAGACTTGATGAGGCTTTGACCGGAATCAACATTGTTGAGAGTGCGATTTTGACTTGACTGGGATTATGGATTTATTGCCTCGTGGACCAACTGGTTCGTTATTGCGAATTTGACTGAATTTAGCCCCAAATGAACATTCTCCCCCCCCAAGTTCGTGGAGGATGTCATGAACAGGCGTTCAGTCTATGCCCTCATGACTCGCGACCATCTTAATTACTAAACCTAATCAATCCAGTTTCTGTTTACGTATCCATTTGAAAGCATTACGTAATGTAGAAGCTACTCACATGACTGCAAATTATAAGTCACGCGCTTAGTAGGTACCAGAGGCCAATCAAGTGTTAGCGATTCGTTACCAATAATCTTGAATCCGTAACACGATTTGGTTAGTCTCATCGTTCGACCTGATCAACTTATTCTTATTACTTCCAAACAAAACTTCTAAAGGGCTGCCACGAGCTGGGCAACATGTTGATGAGATCGTGCCTTAGATCGACTGGTAGTTTTCGAAATGTCGCAAAGGTATAAATTCTACATTTCATCTTGGTCTTAGCATACGTTGTCGGGTAAATTGAGGTCCATCAAAAACCTCTTAACTGAGCTCATATTGTAGTGATTCGACTATAAATATGAAGCGATTACTTGATAATTGCCAACGGCTGTCACATCTACGGCGGAGTACTGGCTGACCAGATTTCTAACAGCGTCAATTGTCAACAAGTTCACTGCCGACCACAACACGTTTAAATATTGCTGGATCAGCAGCAACTGCTGTTGCGATTGGTTCAGCAGCCTGGTATTATCATCTTTTTGGAGAGCCAGCATGGGCTATGACGCCTGCTGAAGAAGGGTATGTTGACGTAAACGTTGTGGAGAAATCTAACATCTCTATAGGCTTCATGCGACACAATACCCCTGGGAACACGCCAAATGGCAGAAGACATTTGATCATCAAGCGTTAGTACAAATATAATTTACTTTCATATATCACGCCATTCGAACCACCGCTAATATCAAGCCGAGCAGTCTCCGTCGAGGGTTTCAAGTATACCGTGAAGTATGCGCCTCTTGTCATTCTCTTTCCCGAGTTCCATATAGGTCACTGGTTGGTGTGACACACACTGTCGACGAAGCTAAGGCTATGGCTGAAGAGAATGAGTACGACAGCGAACCTAATGACCAGGGTGAGATTGAGAAGCGTCCTGGTAAACTATCTGACTATCTCCCATCACCATACAAAAATGATGAAGCAGCCCGAGCGGCAAATAATGGAGCTCTTCCACCTGATCTTTCGCTCATGGTAAAGGCACGTCACGGTGGCTGTAATTATATTTTTTCTCTACTCACTGGTTATCCGGAGGAAGTACCAGCAGGCGTTAAACTTCCAGAAGGTCTGAACTTCAATCCATACTTCCCCGGTACCGGAATTGCTATGGCCCGTGTCCTATACAACGACATGGTAGAGTATGAAGATGGGACTCCTGCGTCTACCTCACAGATGGCAAAAGATGTTGTTGAATTTCTAAACTGGGCTGCTGAGCCAGAAATGGATGTTCGAAAGAAAATGGGTGTTAAAGTGATTATAATGACTAGTATACTGTTTGCTTTGAGCGTATGGGTTAAACGTTACAAGTGGGCTCCTCTAAAAACCAGAAAGATCGTCTACGCCCCCCCTCAAGTCGGAGAGTCTAGGAGGGGACTCAATAGGTAAAATCTTCTACAGGCGACGGGTATTTTTAGTTCAAAAAAGATAAAGGAATTTTCGTTTCATTCAACAGAACTAGTTCTCTGAAGTATTTGTACGAGTTCAATATATGCGCGGGGATGTATCTACGGAATGTGTACGGCTAATCAATAAAATATTATTTTGGGAAATATACACTTCAGTCAATATCCAAATGTTTCCCTTGTCTTGTTCATTGTAGTAATTTTAACATTAGCATGCTGGGAAATCTCTCTAATGTGAGAGACCGAATTTCAGGGAGGACTAAGATGAAGAACAGTAGCCATCTCTGGACTTTGATTATCATTTGCTGTGAATGTATGATCGATCGTCTGATGTAGGCTAGATTGCCATCCCATAGAGGTTTAAAAAGTATGAAAAATGTCTAGATAACATAATGCACCATGCTAAAAAAATGCTCGGATATTTTGACACTTGTGCTTGAGTCAGCTAGTCGCTTCTGGTTGTATTAGTATGAACGTTTTCACGATGACCCAAGGCTATTGGCTGTGAGAAAAAAAACACAAGGTATACTACGGCCATACTTCTCGTACTTATTTTCGACGAGCGGCCGCAGTCATATCTAAATTGGCCATGTGGGATTATAACCTGCTACCGCCAGATGGTCGAACCAGCACTTAAACACTCATGCCAACAGCTTACTATAAGCAACGTTGCCACCACTTATATATTTTTATTAGTTGAGCCCTTTGCTCTTCCTCTCTACGATTGCCGTGAAAGGAGGGACTGCGAAACTTCTTGGCTATCCAAGATGTGCGAACATACTTGGTACTTACACCGGCAACGCTGGTAGGTGAAAATTTCATCTTTAATAGCCTTTGAATACCGTGATGCGTAGGATTGAATTTGTAACTGTATTACTTGTCCTTCTCATCACGCGCTTAGATGGCATTCCAAAACTCTAAAGCTCTTGCCGCATTGGATTATGACCTAATGATCGTTCTTTCTCGGCCTATCATAGACTGGAAGTATAGGTTCTTTCTAAATTCAGGTCATGGATCCATGTTGCTTTTCTAAAGCTCTCTTCCAGTGTTACAAACCCTCATGAGTCTTTAGTTAGTCATACAATTTGACCAGCTTTTTGCCCTTTACTTTCTGCCTTCTCAAGCTATAGAAATGAAGATCATGTGCGGGTATTTGATAGCCAAGAATATCGAAAAAAATCACTGCGGGTGGTGAGATCCTGAAACCAACGTTGGGACTAAATACGAAGACACAGGTACTTTTCTGAGGTGTTGGGAGAAACTGGCCATCCGGCACGGTAGAATCGCGTATATGTAATAGAAGCAACCTCTTTCTTCGTAGATTCTTGTCAATTTCATCCGTCGTCCGCACCTGGGAATAAATTTGAGGTCATGTTGGAATGTCAGCGAAATTTTGATACAGTTTGTGGTGTAAGGTAGCCTAGTCTAGCTGCTGTGCCACTTTAGACAGCGAAGAATCTCAAGTACCCAGTTACAGTAGACGCCTCCCGGAACAGGTTTGGACTCATTCTTTACACAGCAGACTTCTTGGTGAGAGCTCGTTGTTGACAAGGGACTTGTCTGACAGGTGTTAAGTCCTCGTCGCCCCTCAAAGCCTTGAATGTCCGTGATAATGTTTTGCGATAACAGATCTTTTATAAGCCTTTATGCCCATCGTGGCAATCTGCATATTTGCCACTTTCGATATTCAGGGATGGTACGACCTTCATTTGTCGAACTAGCCTGTTTTGGGTTACCTGAAGACTTTCATTATTGATCACGCTTGAATGTGAAATTGAAGAGGATAAAGCTGTAATGCGCAATATTACAATGAGTATATTTTGATTCTAAAGGGCGAGGGATATCTGTTGATAAGGATCGGAAGTTATTGTTGTGTTTATGCAGGGCTGCCTCGCTTTCGCCTACCTTATCGTCATGTAGCTATCATTCTGGGGTTTTTTGAATGACGTAGGCGCTACTCTTGTTAAGCTCCAACTCTTAAAGTCACTGCTCACTATGTCTTAAACATAACTAGCCAGTGCTAAATCCTCCTGTCTTTCTCTCCCCTAATTACTCCCCTCGGCACCCTAGTATTACTACACGAGCTTTATCAATTACAGGATCACCTCTCCTACATACCTAACATCTTGCCGCAACTTAGCCCTCCATTTTAGAATTGCTATGGATTTTAGAACTATGGTCTCTAACGATGTATATTTGCTTCCACTGAAGGATGATGGAAGCCCGGATATCTCTGGTGGTTACATTTTTCTCAGCCCGAAAAGTAACGCCCCAATTATCGTACGCTTTGCTATCGAAGGAACATCATCTATATGCAGACATGGCAGCTTATGGGTCAACATTCCCGAAGAAGGTCAGGAGTTTCAAAGGAATAAATATCGGGAATTCAAGTATAAGATTTCTCACAATAAACCTCAATTACTAATAAATTTAGGCTTGAGCCGGATTTTAATCGAACTATTCAGATCTCAATCCCAATATATGAATCAGGAGCATTTGCATTTTACACTACTTACACCCCTCTACATAAACTCTCAGAGACTGCACAAAAACCACTTGAGCCGGCGAGGACTGAGACGTACTATATTGACGTTGCTCCCCGGCTTGTCTTAGACGGAGAGTATTTACCTATGCCAGCTCTTTGCATTTTCTCTACTATCTCAAAGTTCATGGGAAAATATCCGTATGACTGGGAGAAACATCTAGTCAGTATCAGCGAAAGAGGCTATAATATGATTCATTTTACACCACTCCAACGTCGAGGTGCTTCGAATTCTCCCTACAGTATATTTAATCAGCTTGAATGGGACCCTACTATGTTTCCAAATGGTGAAGCTGACGTGAAAGATCTTATAAATAGCATGCAAAGCAAATACGGTCTTTTAGGCTTGACAGATGTCGTTTGGAACCACACAGCGCACAACAGCGAATGGGTTCAAGAGCATCCTGAAGTTGGCTATAACCTTTCAACTGCTCCGTGGCTTCGGGCTGCATTAGAATTAGATGATAAACTATTAGACTTCAGCTCAAAGCTCTCATCTTACAATCTGCCGACAACACTGACGTTGATCGAAGATTTGACTAAAATTATGGAAGCCTTGAAGGAGAGAGTCATAGATGATCTTAAACTTTGGGAATACTACGTAATCGATGTCCAGCGTGATGCATCCGCTGCTATCGATTCTTGGAAAGATGGCCAGGCTTTGTCTGGGAATGCATGTGATAGCAGTATTTGTGCTACTCAGCTAGAAGAAATTGCTGCTGCTACTATAACAAAGCAAGCGAGCTTCTTAGCTGAAGAGGCGTTATTCAACAAGGATACCCTTGGTAAACGCTTTGTAAGGCGTATCGATCCTGGAGTAGCAGCCGCGCTGATTAGAGAAATATTTGGTGAATTCGAAGCTGACAATTCTGATACAGCTGATCAAGAAGCTGCAAGATCTCTAATTATAGATATTTTAAATGCGATAAATCTTCCACTATACAAAGAATACGATCGAGATGTTGAAGAAATACTTACCCAGCTTCATAACCGAATCAAGTATGTACGCCTGGATGACCATGGACCTAAACTCGGTGTTATTGACGCTGAGAATCCTCTTATTGAAACTTATTTTACGAGACTCCCCAAAAACTCAGTGACGTCCAAACATAGTCAAGAAGATCTTGCACTGGTTAACAATGGCTGGGTTTGGGCAGCCAATGCTCTAGTCGATAATGCGGGGCCTAAGTCTCGTGCCTATCTTCGTCGCGAGGTTATTGTCTGGGGTGATTGCATTAAGCTTCGTTATGGAGATGGACCTCAAGACTGTCCATATCTATGGGACCACATGAGTAAATATACTCGGATAATGGCTAAATATTTTACTGGATTTCGGATTGATAACTGTCACTCGACTCCAATTCATGTCGCAGAGTTTTTTCTGGATGAGGCTAGAAGAGTTAGACCGGACCTTTTTGTTGTTGCTGAACTTTTTACTGGCTCTGAAGAAATGGATTATGTCTTCGTCAAACGTCTCGGCATTAGTTCTTTAATCCGAGAAGCAATGCAAGCCTGGAGTACTGGAGAATTAAGTCGACTCGTTCATCGCCACGGTGGTAGGCCTATTGGTAGTTTTGAAGTTGATGAAATATCCGAGGATATCAAAAATGTGCTTCCCGAAAATGGAGCCGACAATAGCAATCCACAACGTGAGATTATCCGTCGAATACGCCGAACACCAGTTCATGCCCTATTTATGGATTGCACTCATGATAATGAAGTTCCTGCCCAAAAACGTGATGCTCGAGATACACTACCAAATGCCGCGTTAGTCAACATGTGCTCGAGCGCTACAGGTAGCGTAATGGGATACGACGAAGTTTATCCAAAATTAGTTGATCTAGTAAACGAGACTAGATTGTACTCTCCTCCTTCAGGAGACATTGCCAGTCAATCAGGTATCGGTAATACCAAGAAGCTGCTAAATCAAATCCATAACCTCATGGGCAAAGATGGTTACGATGAGACACACATCCATCATGAAGATCAGTATATTACTGTACATCGAGTGCATCCAAAGTCACGAAAGGGATATTTTCTAATTGCACACACTGCATTCCCTGGTTACGGAAATGGAAATGGTGGATTTAACCCAGTTCATCTTACTGGAACTAAAGCTCGACATTTAGGAAGCTGGATGCTCAAAGTCGACACCAGTGAAGAAGCTAAAAAAGCTGTACTTAATGACAAAGAGTTATTGCGAGGCTTGCCCAGCAAGGTTGTTGACGTAATAGGCATAAGAATGGAAACAAAGTCTGATGAAACTATTATAACTGTTCGCGACAAATTTCCGCCTGGCAGTATAGCTCTTTTTGAGACATGGATCCCTGAAGCAGACCATGCGGCCGGTCTAGATAATTATGTAACTTCTGGTGGAAAAGCTGCCTTTTCAGAAGTTGACTTGATAGACCTTAATTTTGTGCTGTACCGTTGTGAGGCTGAGGAATTGGATTCTAGCGATGGAAAGGACGGTGTATATGATATTCCTGGATACGGTAAACTTGTCTACGCTGGTCTTCAAGGATGGTGGAGTCTCTTGAAAAACATCATAAGGGAAAACGATTTAGCACATCCACTATGTCAACATCTTCGTGATGGAAAGTGGGCTTTGGATTACATCCATGATCGTCTAGAAAAAGCTGCAAATACAGCTGAGTTTTCTCGCCTTACAAAGCCATCGAAATGGCTCAGTGAAAGATTTGATGCAATTCGAAGACTTCCGAGTTTTCTCCTTCCAAGATATTTCGGATTAGTTATACAAACTGCGTATCATGCAGCCTGGGATCGTGGTCTTGAGCTCATGAGTCAGGATGTTCGCAATGGCCAGTGGTTCTTACAAAGTCTATCTATGGTTAGTCTTCAACAAACTGGATTTGTCCGATCAGGATCCATTCATCCTAAAAAACTAGTCCCATCTCTTGCAGCAGGTTTGCCTCATTTTGCAGTTGAGTGGGCTCGCTGCTGGGGTCGAGATGTCTTCATATCTGCCACAGGTTTATTCATTGGTACAGGTCGGTTTAAAGAGTGCAAAGAACACATCATTGCCTTTGCAAGCGTGTTAAAACATGGTCTGGTTCCAAATTTACTTTCCAGTTGTAGAAACCCGCGTTATAACGCACGGGATGCCATATGGTTCATGCTTCAATGCATCCAAGAATACACTGTTGCTGTCCCATCCGGACTTGAAATTTTAAAGGAATCTATTCCTCGAAGATTCCTTCCGTACGATGATACATACTTTGATGTTGACGATCCTCGTGCCTATTCCCAAACATCTACACTCGAAGATATAATTCAAGAAGCTCTTCAACGCCATGCTAGTGGTATTAAATTTCGCGAAGCAAACGCAGGTCCCCAGTTGGATTGCCAAATGCGCTCAAATGGATTCAATCAATCTATATTTGTCGACTGGAGTAATGGTCTTATATTTGGCGGCAACCAAGATAATTGTGGTACTTGGATGGATAAGATGGGTGAATCTGAAAAGGCGGGCTCTAAAGGAGTTCCTGGAACTCCTCGTGATGGGGCCGCCGTTGAGATCAATGGATTGCTCTTCTCAAGTCTGACCTGGCTCGCCAAGCTTCACAAACAAGGAAGTTACAAATACGCAGGGGTATCCACAAATTCACCTTCTCATGAATTTATTCAGTTCTGCGACTGGGCAAACCTCATAAAGACTAATTTTAAAAGATGTTACTATATTCCTAGGCTCCCATCTGAAGATATTGACTACGAGGTGAACTCACAGATGGTTAATCGAAGAGGTATCTACAAAGATTTATACAGAAGCGGAAAAGAATATGAGGATTATCAACTCCGTCCTAATTTCCCTATTGCTATGACCGTTGCACCAGATTTATTTGAGCCAGCTCAGGCACTTCACGCCCTCAAGATTGTCGATAATGTTTTACGTGGTAAGACGGGCTTAGCCACGCTAGATCCATCTGATCTCAATTACCGTCCTTACTACAACAACGGGGAAGATTCGGAAGACTTTGCAACAAGCAAAGGAAGAAATTACCACCAAGGTCCAGAATGGATATGGCCAACCGGCTACTTCTTGAGAGCCCTATTAAAATTCGATCTAATTAGACGTGAAAATGACAATGAAGGTTCAGCAGGCAAGATAGAAGCATTTCAACAGATCACTAGAAGACTAAAAGGCTGCAAAGAAGCAATGATAGAATCTCCTTGGGCTGGATTGACTGAGCTTACTCAAAAAGATGGCGCATACTGTAGGGATTCGGTACGTATTCCCACATATCCATGCATTTCCCCTGCCTTTGTCAACTAGCTTAAACTTAAGCTTCTTATCCCTACTGTAATTAGATTACTGCAGGCCCCCTTTTATTCAATCACGACTAGATATAGATTCTTCATAAGTCGAAATATCCTGACTAATGCTAACTTTGGAATTTATAGAGCCCAACACAAGCCTGGAGTGCTGGTTGTCTCATTGATCTCTATCGCGATGCTAGCGCATATGATGTCAGGCAATTAAGAGAAGATCAATAGAAGTCGTAGTCGGTTTTTTGCTTAAATTTTTTGGGCTTGGTTTCATATTTAAATTACTTTGCTACTGATAATTATTATCTTCTTTGATAACTCTGAAGGTGTGCCGCTACTGACTAGGTTTTAATTACAAATGATATGATCAACTCTTGCAAAGATTTGTCATGTCTCGCGAGAAAATAAGCTGAGGCTCAGATTCGTCGTTGGCGATGTGGGATATTGTAATATAATGGGTGAAATAGGTATTAGGTTTAAAGTAATTCCATAACATTATTAAGTATTATTGAGTATTAATGTTTTCCTTAGGTCTAATTGAGATTGAGTTGTTTTTGAATTTGAATTTGAAATCTATAACGTGACAGGACGGACACGACATCTATTTAGACGTGACATGGATAGATGGGTCCTGAGGGCACAATGCTATTTACATGACCGTCAAAAAGGCCAGAAGCGACAAAAGAAAAGAAAAAATACAGTAATTTCCGAAAAACGGTGCCCTGCGCCACATCCCTATCTTCCAATCACATCTCCTCTCGAGTCGGAAATAATGTCAAAATGGTCAGCTCCTACTGCTCATTCTTCGGTGGGCTGTAGTATGTGCTTGTAGTTAGGGATTAGATGACATTTTGCCATCACTTATCCCCTATGATTTCCCTAGCCCTAGGTGGGACCATTTTCTCACAGCTTCTCCAACTTTGCAAGGGAAGACTATTCTCAACACCTGTTAGTGGCGTCCCCTACAAACCTCCAGCCCTCACTGTAGAGTCTGCAGAGCCGAGTTTGAGTAACAAAGTCCTCACTTCGACGAGGATTCTCAATCTCTTTCGCCGTCTATATCGTCTTCATCTCTCAACACATTCCCCTATCACCATTATCATGAAGCTAACCACGATCAGATCAGATGGTAGGGTCGGAGCCCTTCTCATCACTAACCCTTGATCATGGAGGAGAAGTCATCCGATGAGTTTCCGGAGCATACCCAGCACCCAATATGGAGATGGCGGATTGGGTCAAGTCGCCCTCGATTATTACAAAGAAGGGAGATATAGATGAATATGCGCACCTCATGTGGTCCCTGTGTCTAGGCCTCGCCTGGCTGAGGCTGCAGGTTTTTGAGACTTTTTCCCGCGCACGCAGTTTCCATTGCTACCATTTTTATTTTTGGGTAGAAGGTTCCGTGGAAGGCGGCCGAATTCCACGGATAAATACTGAGCTGAATGGCTATTCATCACGGGGAATATATCAATGATCTTTCGAGTTACATGAGAGGCAAGGAGCACCTTACAAGGTGTGGCCTGGGTCAGAGAGGAGCCCAATGTGCTAGATAGTCAGATTCAAGTAGTACAATAAACATCACTCACTCCAACTTCGCAAAGCAGGTCGGAACTCCGAAAAATGCTGGGGCCTTTTCTCTCGGCCGCAAACGCACTTCAGATCTTCATGTTCGAGGTTAAAATGTCGATGGTAGTCGGCGTAGTCCCCATGGCCTGTTCTTGCTGTAGTAAGATAATGGTACAGTCAGACCCCTGTTAAGACGATCATGAATGAATGAAAGTTTATTAGTGACGGGCACAAGCCCTGCACTCAACGAGCATGACACGGAAAATACTAGCTTCTCCGACGAGTATATACGACAATAAGGGTTGGATGGTGCAGTGGTACGCCATCCAGGCCGTTCTACCAAGTAGATACTGGGTAGCTTGAACACCTACCCCATTCGAGACAGGAGAAAGCTGGTTCGAATCCAGTCAGACCCACACACCACTCTCTCTCACGGTGATGTTGTGCTTGTAGGATGATGAAAGTACACTCGGATAGCCACAGGTTTTTCACACTTCCCTGTGGTGGGTATGCACGGAAGAGGTTATACGCCGTAAGGGTTAACCTCGAGTGGTATCTGCAAATGAAATCTGAGTGTGAGTGTTCTAATCGTCAAACTGAGTCATTCTACTTAAAGTACATATCTTCCGATAAAAACCTGCATGGGCCTCAAGGCGCCAAATCAGGTAAAATGAACTATATATATATACGACAATAACTCAGCTTGACATTTGGACTACTCATGTAGAGGGTGCATTCGCTGATACCACTCGAGACCTTGGTACTAGGGACTTTGACCCTTCCCTCAACCGTTAATATCCACCAAAGATAAAGACAGGAAAACCCTTTGGCTACCCTATCATGCCTTTGTCATCTTGTATATAGCCACCGCGCGAGATATGGCCTCACAGTTCTCCCTTTCTCGAGTGAAATAGGTGTCCAGGCTACCCAAACTTTAATTCGGGGAGATGACGACCAGGAGGCGGACCAAAACACCTTCCATCGTTGCCAGTTTTTAGAGTGTCGGTAGCACTATCCTAAATCTTTGCCTCTGCACACATAGACACACTTAAGTCGAAAATACTCGAAAAATGTGCGTCCCAGCATGCCCATTTGTGACCTCTTCACTCGTTCTTCCCACATCCCAGCTGCCTGTCCTCCCTCAAGTTGTGAAGCTCCATTGGAGCAACGGTCCCACATAGACCAAGACACGAGTTTTATAGATTATGACATGAATTCCTCCTCGCGGGTATACGTAGCGTCGTAAATGTGTAGTGGGAGATGGCCGGTTTTTTATGAGGCAAATGCCCGATTGCAATTGGAGTAACGCCATTATCGGTATTTGAGGCGAGGTGGTGTAGTAAGATTGAAGTGGAGGACTCGCGTGAGAATGATAGGTCCGACATTAACGATGAGTCGTCGATTTTAGATGCGCTTTTGAGTGCCTTCGACTTCAATTTGGATGCGATTCTTCTTGGATATCCCAGATATGCAGAGCATACTGAGCGATTACACAGTCACCACTGGAAGGTGAAGAATTTGTCTTTGCCGGCTGTTAAGAAGATCATGGTTAAGCCGATATTGCCGTTTATATGATATATTTTACGGAACGGACTTCGTTCCTATAAATTTACCGACTACTCGATTATCGTTCTTCAACTTCTGTATCCTCTTAACTAGTGTTTTTTTATTAGATTGGTACTACTAATGCCGCCAAGAAAGGGAATTTCTGTAGAGCAACGACGTGCTCTATGACGATGGGCGCACTACCAGGTCCCAAAACAAACACAAAAACAGTGCATTGAGTGGTTCTTCGCTGAGTACGGCCATCGATTAAGCCAGTCCACAGTCTCCGAGTCCTTGAGCAAGACCTTTGCGAAACTCGACGAAGCTACAAGTACTACTGCGCTACGATACCGAGCTGGAAACTGGCCTGACCTTGAGAGTATTAGAGCGATTAAAGACGGCAAGTGAGAGTATCAAAGAGGCATCAAAGGTAAAAAGTAGCCTAGATAGCTGGATTAGATAATTATATTCTTTTAAATGATATCCTCCATTTGACGATATATTTCACGGCCCCGATTACATCGTCTTAACAGGGGTCTGACTGAACGCCCGTCTTGGTAGAGCCAGTTCCGGTAGTCGTTTGCAGTATATATAGAGGTCTAGGTCTTTGTATCGCTTCGGTCGATACTTCTGCCACCACTCTTCCACGAGCCCTTGGCCGCGCTGATAAACCCGCGCCAGCAGTTTGAGATCTATTAAAATTAACGCCGAGCCAGCGCACGGCTCGTGATCATCATCACGAGCCGGACGTTTGATTCACTAAATAACTGCCGGCCGTGGCCGTAGCAGTCTAAGTGTAATGCTAAGCTGTCGGTGTAGAGCAGCAAAGACGTCAATGAGACAATACAGTCTCTTATGGGTTGAAGTTGTACAATTGTCAAAATGACTGATGTTAGATCCCTGTACATCTTGATTTGATTGGTTTGGTCTTCATGCAGGCTCATGTCTAGCTTGTCGACTAGTTTTGCAAGCAGGGGTAATATCCAATGATATTCCGTGACAATCTAAATTATGGGGACGGCTTCAGCTCTAATGGAATTGTACAATTGGTCCTTATTTAAATTTAAATAAAATTTACACATCTATTCCAAAAATAATTGCTCTGTATCACAAAATTGTACATAGAAGCCCTCAGTATGGCTCGCAACTAAAATGAAAGCGTACTATATGTTTTGTATTAGTCTGCTCCATCCTAATACTTTTTGTACCTTCCATTTGCCTTTGTCACCGCTACATGTCTTTCGTGCGGAGGGCAAGACTGAACACCTGTACGCTGTGTCCTCTACGAACCTGGGAGTGAAATATTCTCCCTGAGCCAAGTTCAGTCAAATTTCGCAATATCAAAGAAGTTGGCCCACGAGGCAATGATTCAATTTACTCCTCCACGTAGTTTTTTCGCTCCCAACGAGTTTGACTCCTACCTAAGTCTCATCAAGCCTACAAGTACGACCAAGTACATCCTCCTCCCCATGACCATACCTCTCTCCGACCTTCTCTGGCCTCAGTTGACCACCAAATACACGCCCACGCCGCTATTTATACCCGACGGAGGAAGCAAAGCGTGGCGCACAAATCTTGGAGACTGTTCTTTGGGATGGACATGAGAGTGATTGGGACAAGTTGACTAGATGATGCACAGGATAGATACAGTCTCGACGGGTATGATTTCATATTTTGGCAAGGAGTTTTTACACATTAAGTATTGCGCGCGCCAGACTTCGCTTGCGTGAGTGCAGCTGAAAATGTAAACACAATTCAACGATGGAAGGTGCCGTGGTTCGCCTCCTAGTGGTGTTCTCTGGTATGGTTTGAGTAGCCTGGGCACCTACTCCACTTGGGAAGGAGACATCTCAGATAACATTTCGCGAGAAGAAAATTTGATGGATGACGGAGGCATTTCTGGATAACTCAGGGTTTTTGGTATGTTCCCCTGGGTGAGTATTCACGGATGAGGGTTGACTTGGGTGAAGAAAAAGCCACCATAACTTCGCAGTGGTACTTGCAAATGAAATCTGAGGCATGAGTGCTCTTCCCTTACGTTGAATCATCTATTCTGTACTTTTCTTTGATATTGTGTCATAGCTAGATAGCTGCATACGCATTTAAAATCTGATGCA